ATAAAGACTAACTTTATAATGCTTGACATGTGTAAAGGCATCCACTCAATTCACAGTGCCACAAAAGGAAAAGAAGAGAGGAGGAGAGAGAGGAGAAGAATGCAGTGCAAATATGTCAACAAATAAGAAAGGAGGAAAGAAGGAAACTAGTAGAAGAGATGCATTTTAATTTGCTATTTCGTCCTTTTTGGGGACTCATCAGTACAGTTTAGTTCATTCTATAATTACTATAAATATTTTACTTCTAACATCATATAACAAGTAATCTATTTTTCTACTGTATTATTTTTGTGTGTGTGTTTGTCTGCATGTATGTAAGTGTACCCATGTCATGCGATGCCTGCAGAGGTCAGAAGAGGGTGTCAGATCCCCTGGAACTGGAGTTTACGATGGTTGTTAGCCATCAGGCAGGTGCTGGGAATTGAACCCAGGTCCCTTGCAAGGGCAGCCAGTGCTCTTAACCACTGAGCCATCGTCCAGCCCCAAAAGTAAGGTTTAAAAAAAATAAATAAATAAGAAGTGGGCCAGAGAGATGGCTCAGCAGTTAAGCGCATGCATTTCTCCTGCAGGGGGTCCAAGTTTGATCCCAACCACCCATGCTGTGTGACTCAAATGTCTGTAACTCCAGGGCCAGGAAGATCATTCACAGGGCACCCTCACATGTGTGCATACACTCACACCAAAAGACACACACATGCACGCACGCACGCACGCACGCATAGTTAAAAGCATTTTAAGAGTTTAAGTAATTAGCTATCATCTGCTATGAAATAAATCCAATATAATGGTGAAATTAAAATGTCATTTGTCTTTATTATATTTACTAAAGACACTGTAATTGAAAACATGGACACTGAGAACTAAAGTGTTTTTTGACAATGTTCCTAATGTTTTAAAGTGTAAAGTAAATCTTAGCTTAACACTTTCAAATTCTCCTTTAGGTTGGTAATTGAACTTTGTAAAAAATTGTAGACATGACCTTGACGTTTTTGAAGACTATGGACCAATTATCATATTTCTTATGATTATTAAAAATCACTTCCATGACTTTCTTTGCTGCTCTCTTTATGATCCCATGTATTCACAGCAAAGATTGACTATGTGCAAAAATTCAATGTCCCAGAAGTGGAGTTCACTTACACCGATATGATTAAACTTTAGCTTTAAAATACAAGAACCAGCTCATCTGAAAACCCCTATGTAATTTAGAATCATTTCTATGTCCCATGTACATAATCCTCTAAGCTAGTTTTCATCTTTGCTGTTAATACATGTATGATGCTTTTGATAACAATTTGATAACTTGAATAACAGTTTGATAATGACAACTGCAGATAGCAAATTAAAATGCACCTCTGCTACACTCTAAGAATAAGTAGAAGGTATTTGGCACTGGAGAATGTAGCTGTTGGGCTTGCTACAAATCCACTTCCTATCTGCATAGACCCTGGCACTGCTAATTCCATTGTCATTCAGGTAGGCGTGTTCTCCCACTCCTCGGATGGAAACCCTAAAACAAAAACAAAAAGAATAAATCTGCATAGGCTGCATATACATTAACTCCCACACTGGAATCTCTATTGTTCCTACTACATATTTTTAATATGAATGAAAGAAAAAAGTCCATCACGAATTATTTACACTATTTTTGAACTTGGTTTCTTTTACATTCTCAAGTTCTTTGAAAATCACACCTTTGCTGTTCATCCACTCCAGACCCTGTCAAGCACTGACAAGGTATGTAACTGCTGCTTGCTGCCATGTACAAATGAACTACTGCTATGGTGACCTCACTGAGGGTGATTTTTAGTCTTATCTGAAACAGTTCCATACGTTATCAAGGCGAAGAAAGGCAAAACCTTCCTAGTAAATTGCTTTTTAGCTTAGCGTCAGTGATGGAAGTGATTGGATCTCTATATTTTATTTTTACAATGAAATGCCTACATTCACAGTTCAAGAACTATTTCTGGGTTCTTTCTGATGACCAGACATTAGGAGAGGTCCCCACTGCTCCCTGGAGTCTCTGTTTTTGTGAACAGATCAGCAGTGCAGAGTGGACTTAAGAATCTGATCCCTGCAGTTCTGCAGTGGCTTTCAGAGCCCTCTGCGCATGTGCGGTTCTGTCTGCATTCCACTCAGGATTTATCAGCAAGGAAAAGTTTTGAGTCACTGAAGGAGAGGTCAAGAGCTACCCCAGATGTTATCTTGCTAAAGATTTGAAGAGAAATTGCAGTAAGTAAAAGTCTTCCCAAATCACAGCTAATAAGAGGAAGAGCACAAAAAGGATTTAGATTTGTGGGGATGTGGAGTTTGCTGGGGATTGGCTCATGTGTGTCAGCACACTCTACCTCTGAGCTACATCTCAAGTCCAAAGGTTTGTGTATCCTCCTTCCTAGTACAGTAAGCTTCACAGGATACTGCCTTTTGCCTCTCAGAACTACAACTCATACATATAATGACACAAGAACACAGCAGAAGGAAAAGTCCCGAAACATACGTGTTGTTGTATTCAGTGTTGTCTGTCCACTTCCAAGGCTGTCCTGATGATTCTCTGTACAGGCCGATCCAGTGATCAGAAGGGCCTTTATATCTCCTCAGGAAATCCTGTCAGAAAACACAGAAAGCAAATGCATGTGTCTCTGTTTCAGATGACCTTAAGTCTGGCTACCCCACAGCCTCCTGTTGGGATGGCAGCAGGTGTCACTGAGGAGCACAGACTCTGGAGCCAGGCAAGTCCTCAATTACCAGTGGAGCCATTTGATGTCTCTAATAAAGTACTTTATTTTAACGACATTACATTCCACTGTGACTGGGAAAGTCCCTGATTATGCCCATCCTTCCACATTATTACTCTATTACCCACCTGCAGTGTGCAAAACATGCCAACAAACATGAAAACTTACATCGTTACCACATCTTCGAATGGGAACAGTTTGTCTAATCTTGCAGGCTGCCTGTGAGCATTACATGAGAGAATCCGTCTGCCTCAGGGCTCCAGGCAGAAGTGACGCCATCAACAAATTGCACACATTAATATGCACCCCATGTCCCTGGTTCTGCTAGGGCTGGGATCCTTCCTCCTGCTTCAGCTTTCAGCTCCTCCCCTTAGGGCACTAAATATTCAGTAGAAAAAGGGTTCCACCAACATTTCTTACCAGTTCTTCCAAGCTTTCAAACTGAGTGAGTTCAGCTCCCAATGCCCTGCAGGAGTTCTGGCAATGTGTCCAATTTCTTGTGTCTTCAGAAAAATAATAGCATTTATTTCCATATCCAATCCACTTTCTTGGGCAGGTAGAATAGTAGGTATGGTTCATGATGGCCTGTTCTGGTTTTCTCACTAGAATGTAAACAATACAATGAATTATATAGACATTTCCATGTCTCCTTTTTTTCTGCCTGCCATCCTGAGCTCAGCTATGAACTAGGCACTTGAAGTGTAGTTTTCCTAACTCATCACTCAGAGTCCCCTTCTCAACATGATGGTCCTTCATCCTGGACCTTCCAGCCAGGGCCTGTGTCCCATTCTCTCTGAGGTGCTCACTCATAATATTGGCTTTGAAGAAATGTGTGTTATAACATCATTGCTTTTTGTGCTTTGGGTCACTGTTTAGTAAAATAAGGGATACTAGAACACAAGCACTGCAGGGTCTCCTATCATGACAGTCTATCTCAGAACTGAAACAGCACCGGTGACTACTGGGCAGGTAGTGTATTCAGTGTGGAAAAGTTGCACTAAGGGATGATTCACATACCAGGGGAGGATGAAGAAGATGGTACAAGATTTTTATCCCACTTATCTGAACAGTGTGCAACTAAAGACCTTTAAATTAACCATTTCACGAATTTTCCATTTAAAATTTTCAGTCCACAACTGAACATCACCGAAACCTTGGGTAATAAGAGAGCGCTTGACTCACATATTTCTTCTCTGCCCTCACTCCCCCAGCTGCAACAACCTCCGTGAGATTCCTTGGCTCACCTTGTTCTCTGTCTTGAATAGTTTCCAAGGTTGACACGTGGCTCCTGCATCTCCTTCAAGGGGATGCTGAAACTTCATCTTCCCAAGGAGGCTGACCTGTCTCCCTGTGCATCCTGAAACCTGCTCTACTCCTTCACTTGTTTATAGTGCCTGTGTCTTCCTGCTCTACTGTAAGTTCCCAGGAAGAGGAGTTTGAGATGTATTTTATCTCAAGACTTACCACAGTGCCCAACACATAAGGCCCTCAGAGACCTGCTGTGAGCCATCATAGAGGTTCAGCAGGTCTGTGGTTTCCTGGTGAAGTTCCTCAGCCCTTTTAATTTGATTCTATTTCATTAAATACATACTGGTTTCTTTCTCCTGCAGGCCACCTGGGGAGGTGAGCTCTGTCTGTAACATACACACCGG